GTCATTCAATTTAAAATTGAGGTGACAGAACAAGACTTACCAATTATGATTACAATATCATCTACAAGCCTTCTATAAAGTGGCAGATTTTCGATTAAACCATCCGATAAACTCTCAGTGTACGACAAATTACTTCTTCTTATTGCTTTGTCTAAATATTATTTCAATGATTTACTGTCAAAATCTAAAGGAAGCAATTGGAAGGAAACACTTAAGCTATCAGAGATAATTTCCTAGACTAACTATCACTTTTCAGTCTAAACCAGTCCACTCAGTGTGTTGAACATTACTTGAATGAAGGTATTCAACACTATTATAAGCCTGATCTGAATGACTTACATGAAGCAGAATGCAATGAGTGGTTTAACAGTTATTCTTACTCGTTAGTAGTATATTTCATATAAAATTAAAGAAATCTTCAAGTGTTGGTTTGTAGGTTCGATCATGAACTGACATCCTTTAGAAAACCATTGACTAGCGGGGTTGTACTATACATATATTGTGAATTGACAGAAGTTAGAATTCATGGGTCGTTGAGTTGGGTTCCACTGGCTAAAAATTGGTCTACAAGCTCGCCTTGTAACTGGAATGTCCTGGGTTTGAAATCCCGGAGGGTGTTACGTATCATATTGCTAGTGAATCACAAACTAGCACAGACCAACTGTTCAGTACTCTCTAGCTTTCCAGTGTTTCTCTAATTGACTTCATCTCATGAGGTTACAAGTTTTGTAAGGTTGGAGTACTTTGGTTTTCTATATCTCCTGAGACCTGCAGTGAAAAGTGAATGAAAATGTTTTCGAATAAAAAGTTCAGTGGTGTATCATTTTTACGGTATTTGTCAACTCATCATTACTAAATTTCACTCATTTATCAGTGAGCATTTGTCTTGGTATATATTCACAAATGGTTTCAGCTTTATTTTTATTAGAATTGTGTAAAATTTATTTCAAAGTTAGCGGTAAATAATTTGAGGCATTTTAAATTTTACTTCCTACTTCGGTCAATATTTCATCATATTGATGTGTGAGCATGCGTTTAAAAAAAATATATCTCAGATATTTGAGTTGTCAGTCGGTTACACACAGTCTGTACAGTTGATTTTCATTTTAGGATTTCATCATGAGCTGACAATAGTTAGAGAACCATTGGAAAACCTGGGAGTACTGGACAGCTGTTTCGTCCTAGTTTGGGACTCTTCAGCAGTACGCACCCACCGGGATTCGAGCCCAAGATCTTCCGGTTACAAGGCGAGCTCGTATACCATTCAGCCACTGGGACCCGATCCAATGGTCCTTGAATTCTAACTTCTGCCAATTCACCACATAGCGCGACCGCTAGCCAATGTCTTCGGCGAGTATTTGTCCTCACACCCGACCAGCTGCACCCTACTGGTCACGACTTCCCACTGGAACCCAGGTAACTACCTACCTGAATATGGCCAGTCGCCAGTGAGCATCTCATTGGTATTCAAGTGTTGGTTTGTAGGGATTTGATTGGTTTCAGGATTTCATCATGAGCTGACATTAGTTAGAGAACCATTGGAAAACCTGGGAGTACTAGACAGCTGTTTCGTCCTAGTTTGGGACTCTTCAGCAGCACGCACCCACCGGGATTCGAGCCCAAGATCTTCCGGTTACAAGGCGAGCTCGTATACCATTGTCCACTGGGACCCGATCCAATGGTCCTTGAATTCTAACTTCTGCCAATTCACCACATAGCGCGACCGCTAGCCAATGTCTTCGGCGAGTATTTGTCCTCACACCCGACCAGCTGCACCCTACTGGTCACGACTTCCCACTGGAACCCAGGTAACTACCTACCTGAATATGGCCAGTCGCCAGTGAGCATCTCATTGGTATTCAAGTGTTGGTTTGTAGGGATTTGATTGGTTTCAGGATTTCATCATGAGCTGACATTAGTTAGAGAACCATTGGAAAACCTGGGAGTACTGGATGATTTGATCCATATTTTAAATAATGGAGGTAACTGAAATGAAGACGTTTTTTTCCTCCACGTCCCCAGTGGAACGTAGAGCCTCAAGCTAGTGGCTTGAAGTTTCTGCAGCAGTGTTTTTTTACAGGATGGGGTTGCTAGTCTCTTGTCCAACCTTTCCTCTTTATCAGCTTTACTTCTGGTTTAGTGAGGTAAAGGGGGTGAGTTGGCCTAAGATCGAACCCCGGAGCATGTGCATAGTTGGTGAGCGTGCTAACCGCTATGCCACAGACGCTAAAGACATTACATACACCTAAATTTTTATTTATTATTATTCCCTAGGGTTCCGAGTGGAAAATATGGCTTCAAAAACACATGTTCACTTTGTTCTCTTTCCTGCTATCCTCTCCAGCTGGGTCTACGATTGCCCGAACTCTCTCGCCTCTTTCTCACACCACCTCCTCCATGTTATTCTAGGACGACCCACTCGCTGTTTCCTGTTTAGATTCCCCCGACGGTTTGGCATGCGATGTCATTTGATGGCCTCCTCAATATATACCCAGTCTATCTCCATTTTCTCCTACATATTTGTTGAGCGACCGGCTCTCGCCTGATGATTTGTTCCATTGCAGAGTTTTTTGTTACTAATTCTTTCTGGCCATTTGATCTTCATTATGGAGCCAGCCACTGAAGGCAGCTGTTGATGAAAATCTGCAACCTGTTGGAAATGCTTTCCATGACCCGCAGTGGAAGTTTCTAACTTATATAAAGGGATCGACTGACTTGAAATTTGTGTTGAAAATCCAAATTGTGTTCCTTATTCTGAGTGCGAAAGATTTCCAAACTGCTTTCAGGTTGATGAAACGCCTAAATATGAGTTATAAAATGCAATGCAGTCACTTAGTATAACATTTCGTGTAAAGAGATAGAGACTACATTCCTGTAAGTAGTTTTGACAGTTCTAGACATTTCCACGAATAAAAGACGATGAAGTGGCATATACACTGTAGAATTATTTTTAGTTAGAAGTGAATGTGTTTCCATCACCTTTGTACTAATGAGAATTTTTTGACCTAGTTAACAGTAGTTTCTGTTGTATTTTGAACTCCGGGGGTTTTTAAAACCACAGAATCTAAGTAGAGGTGGTGTTTGGTAATCGATCAAAAGATTTTTGTGCCACACAGCTGTTCGATCTGTTCTTCTCTGTCTGTCAGACACGGCTGTTGAACGTATAAGATTTGAAGAGACTGGCTATCTTTAACCACAGGTATTCGTGTTATATCTCCTCTATTAAGTGGTATAATATGATAAGTCATACTGAGGTTAAGCCTAAAGCATTACGTAAGGGGAGAAACATCATCCGATGAAATTGTGAAGTTATATTGATTAAAATGGTTAGGACAGATGTTATGCATACGAAACTATCTCATTCCTCATCGAGTAATGTTAGCTGATATGAGATTAGATAGGAAAAAAGTTAGGGGTGTTCAAATCAAAACCTTAGATCAATCCATGAAGCCTTCTCACCATTGGTTTCAGACCCACAAAAAGGCACAAACTGCCTGGTTCAGGTCTTAGTGAACCTACAATCAGATAGCACACATGTATTCACCTAAATTCATCAACTTTACATATTTCTGTTTATAATCCAACATTTAAAAATCCATCTTAGACTGTTATTTGTTATTATTGACTTTTGGTTGTCCTAATGGATAAAATTTATGAATTTTTAAGGGCACGTGAGTAACACTGTAAGGTTACCTTTTATTTTGGTATTATGATTTCGCCTCTTCCATGTGTATCTACCAATTTAACTGCTCCTGTGGAGCCAGCCAGTTACATACGCCATACAATTAGGCGTATTTCTCGTCGGATTTCTGAACATCACCCTGCATAGTGGCTAAGTAAAGGACAAACGAAATCCATTCACATAGTACTATTCTATCTCATCTTGTGGATTGATTGATATCAACGAGGCTTTCAAAGTTATTTACCGTACAACAACAAATCTTAACTTCACCTTAAGAGTTCTTTTACTAAATATTGCTGAGACTGGCCATTAGGATCCAAATTAAGAAGCCTAATTTTTGTGTCCAAAAGAAGTTAGTTCAGACATAATCCTTACCTTGACCATCTAGGTTCAAATGATCCTCAATTTGTTGTGGAAATCTCCTTAATTTTAATAGATTTGCTATTTCTATTTGCTATTCTATTTTTATTATTACTATTATAATCTTTAATGAACTGTAATTCCATTGATCTTACTTAACAAATTGATATTATATAAAAAAACACTAATATTGTTATTGACTACTAATCTAGAATATTCTGTGTATATAAACATACATATAATTGTAGAGCCAGAAGAGGAATTTATCGAAAGAAATATTCTTTGCTGAATTATTCTGTATTTTTTAGATTCTTATTGAAACGCTGATTTGTTAACTGATAATTTACATGGAGGATTTAATCATGAGCTGACATCAGTTAGAGAACCACTGGAAAACCAACTGGGAGTACTGGACAGCTGTTTCGTCCTAGTTTGGGACTCCTCAGCAGCACGAACCCAGGACCTTCTGGTTACAAGGCGAGCTCGTAGACCATTGAGCCACTGGGACCCGATCCAATGGTCCTTGAATTCTAACTTCTGCCAATTCACGACATAGCGCGACCACTTCGCAATGTCTTGTTCGATGAGTTACTGCCTCATCTTCGACCAGCTGTACCCTACTGTTCACGGCTTCCCACTAGAACCCCAGGTTAACTGCCTGAATAGGGCCAGTCGCTAGTGAGCATCAGATTAATTTTCAAGTGTTGTAACCAGAAGGTCCTGTGTTCGAACCCCGGTGGGCGCGTACTGCTGAGGAGTCCCAAACTAGGACGAAACAGCTGTCCAGTACTCCCAGGTTTTCCAGTGGTTCTCTAACTGATGTCAGCTCATGATTAAATCCTCCATATAATCAAACCAAATCCCTACAAAACCAACACTTGATAATTTACAGTCAAGTTTCAAAGGTTTTAGTTTACTTTTATATTTCTTTCTTTTTTTTTAATTATTTATTATTTAGGTTCATGAAAATCTTACATTGGCTGTGAATTCAGCAGCGTCAATTGGATGTTGTGTAGTGAATACTGGTCCAGAGGATATTATGCAAGGCAAACGTCATATAGTTCTTGGATTGATATGGCAACTTATTCGTCGAGGTTTAGTCGATACAATCACATTGAATAAACACGGTGAATTATTATCCTTGCTACATGATGGTGAAAATGCTGAAGATTTAGCTGCATTGAAACCTGAAGAATTACTAATGCGTTGGGTTAACTATCATCTCCATCGAGCTGGTTGTGATAGACGCATTACAAACTTTAATTCAGATTTAGCTGATTCTGTTGTCTACGCTTATTTAATTGATCAAATTGCACCGTTAGATAAACGTCGAAATCTAATGTCTGCAGAAGAGATACTCAGCTCATCTAGTCGTCAAGAAAGAGCGATAAATGTTTTAAATAATGCTGAAACGCTGAATACACCATTTTTACTTGCACCAGAAGATATTTATCTGGCTGGGGATAAAGACAAAGATAATCGTGATCGATTGAATCTAGCTTTTCTTGCCACACTATTCAATATGTATCCTGGATTAGATGCTACACGTGGTGATCTACTGATAGAAGGTGAAACACTTGAAGAAAGAACTTATCGAAATTGGATGAATTCACTCGGTGTTAAACCATATGTGACCTTTTTATACACTGATCTGAGTAATGGATTAGTTCTACTACAATTAGTTGATAAAATTAAACCAGGTACAGTTGACTGGTCATTAGTTGTGCAAAATTTTGATCCAAAAAGACGATTATTTCAAGAATTAGGAAATTGTAGTTTAGTTGTGGATTCTGCGAAATCAATTAATATACGCTTGGTTAATGTTAGCGGTGAAGATATACAAAATCGAGATAGAAAATTAATTCTTGGCGTGTGTTTTACACTGATGCATGCGTATATGTTTAAACTACTCTATGAAGTAAGTTTGCGTGTGTGTGTATATAAATGTGTGTGTGTGTGTGTAAATTGCTTATTTTTTTTTCCGAATCAATTGGTAGACGTTTTGATGTCATGCTAGTTATCAGCAGCAGAACACCCCTCATCGATATATTAATTAGTTACGAGACAGTAAACGGAACCACATATCTAACCCTAAGTCTTAATGCTGACTAGCCGCGCCTTCAACATTTTCATTAATAACTCTGCATTTTGTTTACAGTCAATTGGCAGGAGCCCGTGTCTGACCCAGGTTTCGTGCCTACTGGCAGTCGTCAGCAAGGTGTATCTGCAGCCATGGAGATTCAGACCAGCATCCCATAGGGCTTCATTCAGAGATTTTACCACTGGCAAGTCACAAATATCTAGTTAAAGACTAGAAAACGTTTTTTCACCAACTCTGTGATTAAGGTGTCAAGTATGACATTGAGACATCCGAGAAACCAATCATCCATCATACAGCACGTTATTTACCTTCACTGATATGTACTTGAACTTCTAAAGGATTTCACGTCTGGCCTCATATATATATAAACACACACACACACATAACCTTCCCTCTCTCGTGAGCTAACTACCGGGTGAGTGAGTTGTTAGGAGTGCGTCTACGGGGAAATTAAGCCTGACCACATGCATAATTGGCAGGTATTCTACCTTGTGAAGCATTGACACATAAACAAAACTAGTTAACGTGTTAATTTGGATAAAATTTGAGGATATCTGGAAGATATGCACTAATTTATCGATTAGAATAGAGATGTCTTTGATATTTATTGGCTAAATGATAGAAGTGACAGAGAATTTAGGCGACTTTGTTCAAATTGCTTCCTGTGAAGTAATATGACTCTCATGACACTTGTGTTTCAGTCATAGATTAAGGAAGAAGTGAAGACGCGGTATCTATCGCTTTTAGTCTCAAAAAATGTGAAACACTGATGTCTAACAGAAAGACACACTTTGATTGGACACTAGTCAGTGACTAGTGTGATGTGTGTCGAGTCCTTTCTTTGGTGCAGACTGAATTCTATCAGTCAGGTTTGCAATATGGCAACCATTCTAGGTAGCTCGCCATCACGGTACATATTGATTTGATGACGAGTGACAACTAGCACGAAACCTTAGTCGACCAAGGCTTCCTGCCGATTGCCTTCAATCATCTAATGTCATCAGAAAGACAAACTTTCAATGGACGTTAAGTGAAAGAGTGAAGTAATGGAATTCACTACAAAAAGTATAGTAAGTGTCAGTCATATCGATGATTTGAACTGACAGTGTTTTTTCTCTCATTGCCTTACATAAAGAAGTATATAGTCTCAAAATACAGATCTTAGTAACTGAATGTTGAGTATTATTAAAACGGAGTGTTAGTGATTCATTTGTACTTGAATACAATAGGCCTCCAGACACAACACTATAACCAAGGGATCACCTGAAAATATTTTCCACACTATGATAGACACAAAAGTCAGATTTAACTGGGACAATGTTTTATTATTAAAAATACATGGTATATATATATATTTATGTGCGTCGGTGGCACAGTGGTTAGGACTCTCGCCGACCATGCACATGGTCCGAGGTTCGATACCCTGCTGACGCACACTTGATATCTATGGTCGGCCTGCGAAATTCGGGCTACCGGTATCCATGCTGAAAATTCCATACTTGTACCAAAAATACAGTGTAGAATCGAGCTGCAATCAAAAATAAAAAAATAAAATATATACGTAGTTTACAAATCTTTGTAAAAGTATGAGTTGTGTTTTCAAGCCTCTTGACCTAGCGGAGGCTAGCAAAGTAGGGAGGAGTAGATTAAGAGTACTCATTGCAGCACTCCCATCTTAAGGAAAATTGAAGAAAAATATCGCATAGATGTCTTCCATAAGAATAGATGTCCACGCAATTTCATCAAAAGACATATACCCTCAAGCAAACCTATCAAACCAAAAGCCCCCAAGAAAAGCACAAAGAAAATCACCTTACCATATATAAAGGATATCTCAGAAATCACTACAAGACTCTTCAAACCTCTAGGAATTGACGTCGTACACAAACCAACAAAGTCACTCCAGTCAATTCTATGTCAACCAAAGGGCTCAACAGTGAAAGAAGATAAAACCAACATCATCTGCAAAATCAATTGTAACAACTGCGAAAAACACTACATTGGTCAAAGTGGACGTCCCCTTCGTCTTCGTATCCACGATCATAAGCTAGTCGTCAAAAGACATGATATCCACTCCCTCATATCACTGCATACAGGCAACCACGGACGTCAATTCGACTGCGACAACCAACGTTCAAATATTAGACAGAGGAAACAGCAAGAATGCTAGAGAATTTTTAGAAGCCAGCATGGTATTTCAGTGAATCATCAATCAATAGACACATCGAGATAGACAAAATTTATCAACCAATAAGAAAGAAACTTCACACACAAAGGGTAAAAGTTCAAGTCAAAGAAACAATCAGTTCCAATACAAGTAACCTAGAAGGTGTGAAAACACACAAAAAAGACCAATCACGATGTTCAGGGTCACCATCAGGAGAGATGATTGATAAACTCGTGGAGAAATCTAAAAGCTCACTTCAAGAAAGTGAAGTTTGCGCTGAAGATGCCGCCTAGTAGGGCGATGAAAGCTTGACAAATTGACGACCCAGCTCACAGAACACAACCACATCAAAAGAGTACATCGGATAAGCATTCAAACTCCGATATCTCACATGCTTGATGAGGATCTTACCATCAAACTACCAAGGTACACCTTAAGCCACTAGTTATTTCTAAAGAAATAGATGAGTAATAAACATAACATATATTTGTAAGCCTTAAACTAGTAATTGAAGCTGTTTTCCTGATCATTTCTTTTGCTTCAATGTTCACATCATTTCATTTTTTATTGTCTTCCAATGATTTGTTGTTTTTTATGCATCTAGGCTACAAAAGGTGGACAAGATCTACCCTCTGATGATAAAGATATTCTCCGTTGGGTAAATGAACAGCTGACTGAAGCAAATGCCAAGACCATAAGTAGTTTTCGTGATCCAGCCTTAAGTTCTGGTATTCCTGTACTTCAACTCCTTGAACATATTAAACCGAATTCAACAAATCAAAGTATTTGGCTAGAAGGCAATAATGACGACTTCTCATTATGTCAGTATGCAATATCATGTTGTCGTAAAGCTGGAGCTAGAGTATTCACCTTACCAGAACATTTAAGAGATTTGAATGCAAAGATGATATTGACTCTATTCGCCTGTCTACAAGTTTTATACTTCAGTTTAAAGGAGAAAGCTGAGAATAGACAAAATCGTGTTAAAAATAATGAATTGAAATGGTTAAAGTTAGACGATGATGATAATAATAGGAGGGGGGAGACAGACTGAACTGATTGATTGTCTGCCCTTCACCTACTTCTACTTCTACTACTTCTTCTTCTTTTACTTGAAATCACTATATTACTGATATATAATAAATAATCTTTCATTATGATCACAATGATTATCATTTTCGGAATCGACGTGAAAGTTTATTGTTTAGAAATATACTACTTAAACGTAATATAAGTATACACTTTTAAAACATCATATTTTATTCTATGTAAACTGTTTTTAAAGATCTGAACTTTAGCCATAATGTATTTCGTTTATGTGTAATTCTCATAGCCTTTTTTTCCACATCAATGTAAATGTAAGAACCTGTTCTGGTTTTTAATGATTGTGTGCTAAAGCGCCATTTTGATATGGGCAAACCAAATACTAGCAATTTTGAAAAAAAAAATAAATTGATTATGCACATGAAAATACAAGTGAAATTGAAGACAAACATTTTTCACTGTTGCCATTGTTATTGTTGCTGCTGGTTTTTTTTGTGGATCTGAAATTTATCTGTTGATTTAATAAAGAAATTTTGTCTTATATTTGTTCAATGTGTTCCGATACCATTCTTAATGATAAGCAAAAATTCCAAAAAATTTCCTCTTCTCCGGATCCGATTGAAAGAATATAGAAACAGCTAACGGAAACATTGAAACGACTAAAACAACAAGGGTTCATATCACAGAGTCAGTACACATCCCTTAAACCCACTGGAACTTTTTACATCAAGACTATATGGCTCGCCTAAAGTGCACAAAGATGGTGTACCGCTTCGACCAGTGTTAGATATGTTAAATTCGCCATACCATCCTGTAGGCAAATAGCTAGTCGAAATCTTACAGCCGCTTCATACTGAGTTGGTGAAACACAGTGTAAAGGATACTTTCAGATTTGTGGAAAGGATAAAAGATTTAAATGTTGACAATAAATTCATGATACATTTGACGTATCTTCCTTATTCACTAATTTACCACTTATGGAAACAGTGGATTTTGTATGCGAAGAACTCAAAAGACGAAACATCGATGTTGGCATTCCTATATCTTGTATAAAAGAGCTTCTCTTGAAATGAAACAATGAATGTCCATTGTTTATTTAATAAGGAACTATATAGACAAATCGATGGTGTGACAATGGAGTCACTACTAGGACCCATTCTAGCCGACATTTTCCTTGCGAAACTAGAAAATGGGCCTCTGAAGGATGTTATTAGTGAACTCGAATTTTATTGTCGGTACATGGATGATACTTTATTGATTATGAAAAATGAGGATGAAGCAAAGAACATGCTTCCTGGATAAATTTACCGAGGTTTATCCTGCAATAAATTTTACCATTAAGAAACAAAAAGACTCTAGTATTGCATTTCTAGACGACCTTATGACCAGAAAAGAGGATGGTACAATAAGAAGAAGTGTACATAAAAAATCTACATCAATGCGGCAGTATACTCATTTTTTTCAACTCCGTGCCCTTGAAATACAAACGCAATCTGATAAAGTGCTTGGTTCACAGAGCAAGAGCAATTTGATCAGGTGAATATCTTGATGAGGAACTTAATAATGTTAAACGGTTGCTGAGTGAGAATGGTTATCCTGAAAAGTTTATTGATAAGAATATGAATTTGAAACCAAAGCAGCCGAAGTTACCAACAGTTCCAAAGAAGGCCTTATTCTTTCAGATGCAGTTCCTTGGGGACAACACTAGCGAGATACTAACACAGCGCATTAGAAATGCGGTAGGGAAACTTCATAATCACTAGAGCTTCCAGAAACTTTAGGATACGCCCTAAATATGTTTTATAAATAGGCTTAAAAAAAGGTGTAAATGTTAATTTTTATGTCCTGAATCTATAACAAACACAGTCTTCGCAATAAAAGACTTGGGTTGCTTGTTTTCATCATTAATGGATTCAGGGGATTAGATTAGCTTGTGAAACCCTGAGATTTCAAGATCTATAAGCACTTCTCAACAGTGTGTGTGGTCATACGTACACTTAAAGTGATTGGTTCAACGGGATGTTACGTCATCGTTTTTGTATGCTCTGAGGATTTAGATGAATGTTTGGGTTTCGGTATTCTCAATTATCCCTATTTTAGCTGCATAAAAGTTTTTTCTGATCACAGTATTCACTCTTTGTCTAAATTGTATCGAGTTGATATGGCGTAGGGTACCTTGATATATAAATCTTTCTTAGAGGTGTCAATGATTCAGCTGTAGAATGCTTTCGAACCAACAACGCAGTCCGAGGTCCCATACCCTTTCGACGCAATTTTATACTTCACTTAACCAGTATTGAACCCCAGCCCGTAAAAGGGAAAGATAGAATCGGCGTTAACAACTTCAATCCATAAAAATCATTACTGGTACTGAACCTTCAAAGCTTAAGCTTGAACTTCACTGAGTAATGTTTTTTCACCCATAGTTGCTGTTCACATTTTTCTTTCCTTTCCTTCAATTACGTCTTCTGTGCATGTTCGTTGAATCCTTCAAAGGAGGCCTCTCACTAGATCTCCGTTGTACTGAACAGAAGAGATGCTGTGTTACATATGATACTATCCTGTCTGTATAGGTTTTCGGTAAGTGGATCGTTGTATTGATCCATCAGGTCATAGACTAAACAGTATCCTCTTTCAAAAGAATGGGTACTGAACAAAGAATACTCTTTTTAATAACTTTATCATCAGGCTCTACAGTTATATATGCACATTATAGTGAATGAATCAATTGATTTTATGAACAACATTGATGTTTAAATAACATAGAATCAGTAATGTCAACAGATTGCAGTTCAATAGCATCAACATAAAATAAGCCGAATGTCAGAAACATTAGGAAAGATAGGTAATATTACAAATTCAATTCATGAATTTACAGTCTCTAATGAAGACTAGCCAGGGCAATAGTAGAGGCTGCACTTCCTTCTTTTGAACACAGAGCACTGGTTGTTTGAGGCGAACTGCAATAGCCTCTGCCGTTTTCATCAATTTATTACGCACATAGCAGATGATAGAGAAGGATTCTTCCACGCTGGCTTTGTGGCCGGTTTGCACCAGATGGTCCAATATCGAACTGTTAATAGTTCTCACTACAACTTTACTTAGCCATACTGGTGTGGTGAGAGCAGGCTGCTAGCCAATTGGTAGACATTAATCTACGTCAATGTCTAGGTCACTAATATTGGCCATGAGAAAATATGAACAAGGCTGATTAAACAACCGATCACATCAGACTTAACGTGGACAAATATGATTCGCAGATAGATCGCTCCACTTTCCGAGGTGACCTGAAACAACCAATCAGAAGCCTGCGTTTGTCTGCTTAACTTCTGAGAAACAACCAGTCAAAAGACTGCGTTTGTCTACTTGAATAAGCTACAATAATAATCAGGAAATATATATAAATACGTGTTGATTTCCGTAATGAAGGGATCTGTTGCCGGCCCTTATCTTCTGTTGTTACACTGGTAGATGTTCTCGAGTGAGCACGAAAAATCAAGTTCCTAGAGCAATGGTCGATATAACTCGCTCCACCATCAGCGCAGTTGAATTGGTAGATACAATTTAAAGTGGCAAGTCTGGCCTAGGTACTTCATCTTTCAGTCGAGGAATTACCATCGGTCTCGTGTAAAGAATAAGACGTGTGGTTCGCCACCACTAAAAGTTCTTTGAACTGATTTTCTCAATTTCTTCGCAATTATTTCACTTGGTATATCGCTTTTGAATTGCAATCGTATACAAAGATGCTTCTTGTTTTGCGGATAGTGAGTAGTCCTTTCCGCTTTCTTTCTCTTCTACAGACGTTAGTGATATAATATTTTCTAGCCCCATTCATCAGATCAAAAACTGGAGTGGTAGAATAGCTCTATCACTTTAAGCTGCTTTTTATTGATTTCTTTGAACGTGAAGGATTCATAACACTATTTTTCCCAACTATAGGCAGCACCTCAAAAGACTAATATGCAAAAGAAAGGAATAATAACTAATTACAGTGGCATCAAATTTATATTGATAAAGCTGGTCACATGTCACGAAATTTGAAATGGACTATAAAGCTTCCAATGTTTGAGTTAGATAACAATACTGAATTTCAAGTGGGTTGAAATGACCCCTTAAGAGATAATAACAGTCCTGTAACTAGGAGTTGATATATTAAGGCTATAAGAAACTCACTGGGGATTAAGTAGCAATCTCCAATCAATAAATTCTGACCTTCAGAGACCAAGGAAATAAAGCTAGGAGATTGGTGGATCCTTACCCATTAGAACAATCGATTTTTCTACTATGCAAAAATACATTATATTGTAAACATAACTAATCTTGGAGAAAGCTAAGTCAATAGATACCTATTGTAATTGGTTGCTTAGGTTCTCAATTCTGCTTTGTCCATTCACTTTATAGGCAGTGTTATGCCCCGACTCAGTCGTTTAAATCTGTTGATAACAGAAAAGATGTGTAGAGAAGGGTTACTCTTTTTGCCGTAGTCTGATTGATGGGTTGAATAGAGCTCAGCTCAAAATAAAAATTGAACGAAAGTCAGGTTAACAGCAGTAGTGATAAGGGGTGGGGGTGGGGGTGGGGGAAGAAAATATTATACAATTAAGAAACAGACAAGCAAAGAAAAAGACGAAACAAAAATTATGTATTTTATGTTTAGATGAGTCATGTTCACTGAAAATTTAGTAACTGAACCAGCCTCCTTTGTTTTCAGAGCTCAGGCTTTAATGTGTGATCTGCCAATGCTTGTGGGGTTTGAAGTAGTTTAATTCGTACTGTTTTAGGAAGATTCCCACGTTTTCTGTAGATGACTTTGGAGTTGGTTTGAAGGTTAGTCGGTGCCCTGATTCAACCATCTGTTCCAGAAGAGATCTTCGAAGGGACCTTTTTTCTCCTTTATAAAACCATGATGGTAAGTGTTCAATGATACGTTTGCGTAGAAAGCTCTAGGCATGGCCAACATACTTAGCTCCACACAGGCAGGTGAATTGGCCAGAAGGAGGTAGCTTTCTT